CTTTTACCCAAATGCATTGTTGAATGTGTTGACCAGTGTACAGTTTCAACCAAACACAATAGTGGTAATTTAAGACAATTTGTAGACTTCACGGCATGTACACATATTCCAATTCCCCTAATATTCCACCAACATTCCCCTTGTTGCCAATTTTTCTTTTTAATTGCCCTGCCGAAATTTTGTCGAGTACACCATCTTTGGGCAACTTTTCACTTCGTAGACTATGGGACTAAAAGTGCAATTCAAAATAGGTATTAGAGAAAATGAAAAAACTAAGAGTAACTACTTCCCGGGTCGAGATCCCGCTCAAAAACCGCTCAAGATTTGAGCGGTTTGAGCGATTTGGGCGGTTTGGGCGGTTTTTTTGGAAAAACCGCTCAAACCGCTCAAATCTTGCTTAAAAAACCGCTCAAAAACCGCTCATTTCTTGCGGTGATTTTTGAATGTAATTACATTTACAGGGAAGCGTGTAAATATAATCCATTTTGGTTCCAATCTAACCTATGCCAATCTAAACTTTGTGCTAGAAACAGTTCAATTAGTCAGAGATAGCTAAAAATGTTGCAGCCAATAAAATACATCATTTTACAATGCATAAATTATAATCAAGTTAAGCATTATTAATTAATCAAGGAGCAGCTTTCGTTTTTTGTCTTGTTTGTAGCCGCGATGAGGTATAATTTCACTCGATAAATTACACATAGGCGAAGCTGCAATTCGCAATTTAAAAAAACATGGGGAATACAAGCTTTCGTATAAAAAGTGATCATGACTGCCTGTATCAGGACGAAGCTGAGTTTGAAAACAATTTAATTAACCCAATTTGGCCAAATTGACCTTATTTAAACCCAAATTACTTTACGGTAGAGATCACAGGTGAAATACGTTTTTTAAATTTAAGCTCATGACAAAAAAAATGATTCGAGTGATATTTAAAAAACCCATCGAAAATGCTTAGTCAAAAAGTCGAAAATTGACTAAATAAAAAACCACCCCAAATTAAAAATTTCACATTTTCTTCAAAACTCGGAACAATAAACCAATAAAAAATAATTTAAAAAATAAAAGTTTTGAAAGTGTTCATTATTTTTTGAAAATTTTATCAATTTTTTAAACGCAAAAACTATTCCAAAGACCTTAAAGTGTAGTCGGATCCAAAAATCTTAATTCAGAAGAAAAATTATTGAAGTAGGGTCTACCATAAGTTTTTCCATTGCTCTAGAGTCAAATGAATAAGAAAATAAACTGAATTAGCTTCAAAAATTACACAGAGTCGAAGCGAAGCTTCGCACCACTTGATACAGCACAAAAAAAAATTTAAAATAAGAAATAGAAAAAAAATAGAATCAAAATTTTGTCTCTATAAAAGATAACAAGGAGCCTGGCTCAAGCTGTAGTTAGGTGTTTTGATAACTTTGTTATACTGATGTGTGAAGAATTGGGCAATTTCAAAAATTGATTTTGCCCAAACCATAGTTGTTTCTCTACTAAAATAAAAGAGACGGGCGAAAATTAATGAGAAATTGAAACCTTCCCAAAGACAGAACATTTTTCTTACGAGAAAAATAAAATAACGCTATTTCTACAGAAAAATTGTTGCAACCGGTTCATTCGATTGAACTCCAGGGTAGTTTATAAGAAAAGTCAAAAAGTTTCTAAAAACAGTCAAAAGTTCAAAAACATCCGAAACCAATATATTTTTCTTTCTACAAAAAGAAGGTCGTAGCGGCGTTAGCAAAGAATATTTCTGAAACTGGATTTCTCGATTGACCAAATAAGCCTAAGAATACGCAGGGAAACTTTGGAGAAACAGAAAGAATCATAGCTCTAATTGTGAAAAACTTTTGGCCGTAGCCGCTTGTACAGAAGAGACTCCTGTTATTTCGATTGAAGAAAAAAACTCAATTTACAGAAGGTAGTTTTCGAAAAAAAAGTCAATTAGTTTCAAAAAACGGTGAAAAAACAGTTATTGTCTTTTCCGAGGGCCCTGGCAGTTTTCGAGGTCAAAAAGAATCAGAAAACGGTCAAAAAAAGTTGATCTTTTCGATGGCCCTAACAATTGAGTTAAAAAAATGAGCTAAGTTGATTATAAAGGGGCGCTTTCCATATCAGGTTGATTCGATTGAACCAAAAAACTAAGATTTGGGAGTGTAATTTGTTGAGAAAAAAGCTTAAAAAAACGGTCAAAACTCATATTTTGTGTTTTCCGGGGCAACAGCTTTTTGTATAAAAAGTTTTGTCGTAGCCAAAAAGCAGAGAGCTTTCGCACAACCAATCTTTGGGTTGAATTAAATTTTTCAGATTTTGGCGTGAGTGATTTGGGAGGGAAAATTTGTTTTTTCTGAGGGTCCTAACTTTTGAGTTTAAAAAAATTGGGCTTAGTTGATCATGCAGAGGCATTTCGTGCAACCACTTGTTTTGCTTGAACCTTAAAAACTCACTTTGTAATTAATTTTTTTTTAAAGCAAGTAAGTTGAAAATATTATTTTTAAAAAAATTTGATACATCACGCAAGTAAGCCGACAAAAAATGAGACAAAATCCATGAAGCCGACAAAAAATCATCTTAACTCTGAAAAAAATTACATAAAACTAAAAGTGCACCCAGGAGTTACGCATGTCAGCAGTCAAGAGCATGAGACAAGAGCATGTCAGCAATTGATTCAACTGAATTTGTTTTACTAGTTGTTAACCCGAGAAAACGTCTACACTCCAGTTTGATAACGCTGGCCAATCGCAAGGGTAATAAATTTCTCCAAAAAATTTAGATTACTTCTATTTTTACTTTATACTACTAAGTTTTTCTCAAGATTATATGGTATTATCATGACTTAAGTGACGCCTTTTAGAAAACAGCAATTTTGGTTTTATCAGCCCCTGTAATCTTTTAGACTAGCAGTGTTTGAATTGACAGTTATGGCGATGTTCTGATCTAGACCTTAGCTTACAAGAGGGTTAATTCTAAAAAAAAAACAATTATCTCGCCTTAAAGCTCAGAATTTCGCAAAAATTGACACCTTTTCATAAAAGTGAACACAAAGGCGAACATGCGCCTCGCACCAATTGACACACAAAACAAACGTAATTATTTACCGAATCATGTTTATGATCGTAATCGTTCGCTTTGGCTTTTCTGGCTGAAGTATTGAACTATATCTTCATTTTAAAAACGCGATTCTCATTTCTTATTACTGTCGTCGACATTTTAGTCAGTTCGTAAGCACGAAGTTCTTGGTTTGATTAATTTTCGCTTTCAGTTTTAATTTTTCTTAATAAATATCTTGTTGTAAATTAAGAATGCTTAATAGGCAATTCTTAGAACTTTCTTTTTTTCAACTGCATATTGCATTACCAGTTCCACATGCGATAAGAAGTCGAAAAAATGGAAAATAATGAAGAAAATTAGATCTTCTGAAAATAAGTTTTTGCATGTCTCGATAGAAGTTAACTTTAGGCTAACATGCCAGAAATTTGTGTTTTAAATTAGCAACCGAAAACAACACACGAAGAGGAAACAAAGCCGATAGTCTTTGAGTAGACACAAGTTTTAAAAAAATGATTTCTTGATAAATCTTTGGTCTTAAGTCCCACCTGCGACTCGAATGAACAACACTTGCATTTTCAACTGCAAAGAAACTTGTCTAGAACACACAAAAAAATCAGTGATGTGGCAATTAAGCCGAGTCTTTGAGCAGACAACGGTTGAGCGAAAAAAAAATGATTTAAAAAATTTCAAGTCCTCCTCCCCGAACATACCGAAAGTCCAACAATTCGACTTTTAGAAATTTTTTTTCAATTGCATACATACTGAAAAAACAAGGTCCGGCCGAGAGTCGAACCACAGACCTTTGGGTACAAATGTGACGGCGTTAACTCTCGTCCAAGTCGTTTTTTGGACAAGTTAATAATGCTCGATTTTGTTGAACAGGAATTTTTGCCCTCAAAACAACGCAATAAAATTTCACTAGGCCATAAATATAACATGAGCCGAAATCATTTACTCGAAAAAAAAACTATACAAAAAATAAAATTATTAAAAATCAGACTTGTTAAACTGACAAGTTAGTAGCTTTCAGCCAGAATAAAAAAATTCAAAATCATATTAAAATCCATGCTTACAAAAACCGAAAAACAAACAGTACCAAATTAAACACATTTCGTTCACAAAAAAAAAAGGAAATGAACCGACGGAAACTGGGCCAAAAACTGCGAATCCGAAAACAATCAATTTTTCAAAAAAAAATTTAAAAAAAAAACTTAATACCGGAAACGGACTGCGCCTGATTACTACCCAAATGAAGGCGCGCAGCAAAAAAAAAACGATTCCAAGATAAGGGCAACTAAGCCGTCAAAAGATAAGCAGACATATAATTGCCGACAATTTTGTTTCGAACAGAACATTTGCTGGTTGAAAAAATAAACCCTGGTGAATTTCGAACCCAGGACCTTTGCATCCCAGTCGTTTTCGTTATCTCAAGGCTACGTGGTCCAGGAACGCTAGGAAATTTGAATTAAATGTGAAACAAGGTAACTCTAGAGATGAGTCCTGTTCGCACTAAGTTTACGGGAAAAGTCTAGTACCCGATTACAATACCCTAGCTTATCGCAAGAGTCATAAGGTGTAACTAAAGTTTTTTGATTGAAAAACATTCTGTAGTGAAAAATTTTGGCTGAGAGCATTGAAAGTTTTTTGAAGTTGAACTAGATGCTGCTTACAAATAGCTTCATCTAAAACTGTTGAAATTCCGACGCAAATTACCGTTAAAAATTAAAGACAAACGTATTTGCCCCGTGTGGCAATTTGAATTGATTTATGCACATTTGAACGTTGACCGTGTCAAAAGACATTGAATTGTAGAATAACTTTTGTGCACATAAGTTAACTGTTTGTTGACCAGGAAAAAGAACAACAGATATTAATGAAAAAATAGTTTTTCTATGAATCTTATCCTGTAACAATATCTTAACATCTAGTGCTTCACTTTGTCAGAGAACATCGAATAAGTAGAAGTTTGAATTAAAAGTTTCGGTCAGTACATAGTTTGATTCAAAATAGTTCAAATTTGCATAATTAACCTTAGGCATAAGTTAAAGAGATCAATTAAGTTCAAAGTTAAGTCTAGTTTTGAGTTGAGTCTAAAATGAAATAATTTAAAATTGCGGCCTTGGAGGAAGCGAACAGTAAGTTCATCTCTCAATTGTTGACGAAGCATGACTACCAGAACGTCTGATTGACTTGGACTAAATATAGACACGATACGAGAATGGTTGCAACTGATTTGCAACTCGCCTGTTTAGACCTACTGTTTTCCTTATGCTTACAGCTGCTCATAACTGATTGATGTTGCCAGACAGCTGTTGAGCTGTCGGTCTGTTTCGATCTGTTGAACTGATCGATTGAAAATTGTGTTCTGCATATTCTTCTCTCGTCGTCTCTTGGTCCGTGTGTGGTGTTGTGTGGTTCCGCCCCAAATGATAGATGCCACTGCCTGTCTCCCTCCCCCTTTATAGCGCCCTCTAGTGTCCCCTTGTTTTGGAGGGTGAGGACGTCGGGGGCTGGTGGCCTCTTTGGGGCAGAACACAATTGCTAGAAGCCCTCATCTGAGTCATCAGACAGGTTTCCGTCGATCAAGAAGTCTTCTTCGCTCTGGAACTCCACTTTATATCGAAGAATTCCTCAAAACCAAACCCGGAGAATAACTAATGAAACTTTAACTTTCAACTATTCCTTCAATGAAAAGATTTAAGCAACAAATTTTAGTGCCAATTGACGTTATTATTGCTACTTTGAATGTAATTTTGCATTTAAGCATGAAACTCATACCAGATACAGATGCAACTCATAACGACTCTTCAATTGTATGTCCGATACTTCAAATATTTGCGTCATATTGAACCATCACGTCATAAATTGAGTATTTAAATTTAGGATCCAGACGACAAAAGAGTATGTTTAAAACTAAACACTGAATCGCTCGTTATGAAAGCAGCACATGATTTCGATTTGCTGATACAATCGATTTGTTTGTTGAATGGTTAGAATCAATAGCGTGCTGTTTTCAACTATACGCTGCCGTGAAAAAAGTAAATGACTAATAACCATTTTTAAGTGTTCAGTCTAGTCTTTACCTCCTATTCCTCCGAAGCCCCTCACGAACTGAGATCCCTCTTGAGACCTGTCAGTGACAATCTCCAAAGTAGTTCCTGAAAAACAGTTTCGGTTTAAGACAATCACTCATTGATACATGACATTTTTGTATTCGAACGATTTGGGGCCCTTTTCCAAATCTTTAATCATATGTAAACATCAACTTTTAAATTTCAATTTGTTAAAAGTATTTCACTCCTTTATGACAGCAAGCCTTTGATAAATCAAGTGTCAATTAATACTAGTAGATTCAGAGCAGTTAGCAAGTTTGATTTATTAACAGAGATAAAATTAGAATATAAAAATAAAGCCTCATTTTATTATAAAGTTGATAAAGCATATTATATTTTTTGAGCCATATCTGTTTAACCCTTTCCAGACGGATGTGTGATCAAGCTTACTTGCTCTAGCGGTGTCAGTCTAACATTTCATCCGCCCCGACATATTTTTGAAGCAAAACTTTGATATTAAGAAAGGGATTCCATTACAAATCAGACTGCATCCAGTACAAAGCTATATAATCGCCCGCTAGGTAAAATCCATCTAGTGTTTTGGCATTTGTCATTCGATTCCGTATGTTTGTCCTTCGAGTCAAGGATCTTACGTGGAATCTAGTTCAAACTTTGCGGAAAAAAGGCAAAGACTGAACTCAAACCAGTACAAAATTTACCGAGTGTGGCGGTCAATCAAGAAACAGATGAGCATTTTAGAGTTCTTCAAATTTTGAGCATTACAAGACTATCTTTAAGCTCTGAATTTCCAGATAGATCGCGTTTGACACTTTTCTGAAAAAAATCAAAGCAGAAAGAAAGATTGGTCAATAAGTTATATTTTTTACTCGGCTAAGAATTCTTTACACTAAAATCTATTTTTGAAACTCAGGGTCCAGCTCTATTTTCTAATCCATTTGAGCTGCTGCTATAGGCGAGCGTAATTTGCTTTAAATTAATTAGATTATTACAATTAGATTTAAGTTAATTAGAAACCACACCAATTTTGATAATTGAACATTTGCTGGTTCATTAATATTCCAGATTTACAATTCCAACAAAAAGCATCTCTAGTTAAGATGATAGCAGAACAGCATCTTACCAAATGTTTTGTAGTTGTTGGCGAACCATTCCAGCAGAGGCATCACATCTACCCGCTCCAACTCAACCCCGTCAGCCGCAATGAAGTTCGTCCTAACAGAAATGAACAAGTTTCAGCTAGCCATAATAAGGCTGAAAAACTAGTTAAACGATTAGAGTGCCTAATTTCATTTCCGAAAATAATTTTGTCAGGTGCGCTAGCTTCTAGAAACTTGCATGCTTTTGTGATTAGCTCGGGATTCGAATTAAATTTCTCAGGCAGTGGGGCAAAAATACCGCTAACCCACCGGTTCAAATTGAAACGTTTCAAACTTTATTAAGTCATGACTATTTCGAAATTCTGAGTGTTGTTTGACGCAGTTGACAGCCCTCTGCGCTATCTTTGAACTTTTTGACACAAGATCTAAGTCAAATTAGTCTCGACAGTAAAGTCTCGAATTTGCCGTAAAAATTTACAGAATTGCAAAAAATTGGAACAGACAAAATTAATTAAACATTGCCAACAGACAGTTGGAAAAGAGTCAACGAACGCAAGTAAACAGAAAAAAAACACTGACTTCTTTTTTGAAAAAAATTTTTGAAGAGAAAAATAGAAGTCCTTAACGTTCTTTGATATTCTAGAACAATTTTTGATTGACAGGTATTTGATAATATTTATCAAATTAGAGGCAACTGGATCAATAGGTAAAACTTGTTTCGCTGGGAAATCTGATAATTAAATTCCATTTTCCAATATCCGGTTTTCGTGACCTTTACACCTTCGCTGCTTGATAGTGTATTTTGCCTTGCTCTTAAAAAAGGAAATTAACTGAATATAAAAATGAATCAAAACTCAAACCGCGAAAAAAGAATCTTTGAGCTTGAACAAATTTGAAGACTTTTCCTGCAAAAAAAATATAAAGTCTGAACCACGTTCATCGTCTCGTAGACATTTTCGACAGTCATAGTAAAATAGACTAGTTTGACAATAGCTTTTGTCGAAAAATGACTAAAAAAGCAAAAACAATTTCATACAAATCAAAAGTTTTTTTTTTTTCAAAATTTTTAAAGCAGAATAATAGATATATATATATATATATTAAGAATAACACTATGTACTAGGCATCAAAAAAGGGAACCGACAAACTTGAAATTAATACACCATTTCGCAGTTTTGAACAAGTAGTGTACGCAAGTTCAAACTTCCTACTAATTTTGAGACCCAGTTGATCCTCAACAATTTATCAGACTGTTTCCTAGAAAAACACGACCTATTTAAGTGTTTTCGCTGCATTTATTTCCACATAGAATTAATTCGGGAAACCAAAAGAGCACCAAAAATAATCGAGAACGGGCGTCTAACTTGCAAGCGTTGATTTCCAATGAATTTCATTTTGAGGAAACACATGTCGAGAAAGACAAATGGAAAAGAGTCAATGAACGCAAATACACCGAAAAAAAAGCTGAACGGTTTTTTGAAAATAATCAAATTTTAAAATTCAGAAGAAAAAATGCCTTAAAGCTCATTGAACTTCAAGAACAATTCATGATTGTCCTTTTTTGATAAAATTAACCCAATTTGATCAACAGGTAAACTTTTTTAGTTCGCTGAGAAATATGAAAATTAAAATCGACTTTTGAAACTAGAATTCGATCGTGTTTTTCGCTACCTTCACACTTTTGCTGTTCGATAGCGGAGCTTGCTTTCCTTTTAACAAAGGAAAAGAACTGAAAAAATCAAAATTCAAACCGCGAAAAGTTAAATTTGAATCTGAACAAATTTAGGACTTTTCCTGAAAAAAAAATCAACGCGATCTTTATAAGAGTCTAAGCAACATTCATCGACTCTTAATTTAAAATGGACGAAGAATATGTACACTGCAGCTTCGCAAAAACAATCGAGAAAGCGGCAAAAAAGCTTTGAAAGCACAAAAACAAATTTGTTAGAAAGAACATGAAATGACATGAGCTAAAGGCGACCACACTAATTTCGCATGTCAAAAACGAAAATGCAAGACAAACTTTGAATAATTTCAAAAACTTCGCAAAACATACTGAGTTGGAAAATTTCTGAAAAAGAGTTTTTATTTTAACTGTTTTTGTGTTAACTGTTAACTGTGAAAAAAATTCTTTCGCTTCAATAGACGAATTAAAAAACACCACACGTTTTAACTCTTTACAAGTCAAATGCCAAAGCACATGGTATTATCGTGCCAATGCCACATTCAAAAGTGCCACCAAAATTAGCACTTTTACTTGCAACTTAGGTTGATTGAAACAAAATTGCAGCGTGTTATCCCACTACGTTCTGCGCTTGTGCAAACAAAGGAGATGAACTAAGCTTAAACAGTCCTTACTGAGTACACCAACTCTTAAACCGTCACCTAGCTACTATCTCCTAGCTGATTGTATTGAAAAATAACACCTCTAAAGTTCTCACCTGTCCTTCTCCTGAGTAGGAGTGAGGTGTAAGACCACGTCTCGTTCTTCTGCAGCATGTCGCAACACATGTCTCTGAATGGCCAAATTCTCCCACACGATCAGAGTCTCCACTGCGCCCATGTCCAGTGCTTTCAGAGTGTCTTCCACTCCGAAACAGTACTTTCCAGTGTCCTGAGAAATCTCGTCAAAATAGCGACCTGGAAAATTTTGTTAAAAAAGTATCAACAAAGAAAATTGGAAACAATAATGCACATAGCTTAGCCGAAACCTGTGCAAGCTTAGCCGACAGAAGATAGTGCAAGCTCAGCCCAGAGACCATTTAAAACTTAAGCGTGAAAACATTTCATTCCCTCTCGCGCGCATACGCATAAAAAGACAAAATGCGATAATTGAGCCAAACCGAAACATTTCAAGTTGAAAACACCTTTTCAGCAAACAAAAACAATCCCATTGAAAAAAAATTTTAAGCAAAAAAAAATTAAAACCAAAATTTAAAAAAATACCAACTCAGATTTTTAGTGAAAAAGTCTTTTTTTGAAAAAATTAAGCAAAAAAATTACTTAAAAAAGGCGAAAAAACTTTCTACAGAAATTTCATACCTTTGTCTCTGATGATAAACAGCCTTAGCAAACATTGAGAATCAATGACCGAGCGGCAACTAAGGCAAAAAAATTTTGTACCGACCCTCAAGAGCCGATAACTAAACTAGTCATGAAAAAAATTGCCTCAAATAAACTTGAATTTTCCAGAAAATGAGCATATCGGCCTTTGAGCATGCAGCACAATTAGGCATGTCGGCTGAATTTGTAAGCTGAACTCGTAAAAAAAGTTTACGGGAAACGAAAAAAGTCCAGTTCCCAATTACAAGTCACCTGCTCTCGCAAGTGAAAAAACCCGAGTTTAAAAATATGAAAAAAAGAAAACGACTGTCATTTATAGTAAAATTTGTACATATTGGAAGAAAATTCCTTTTTTTTTGGAAATTAGGCCGACAATAAATGAGCCAAAAGAAAGCCCAACAATTCGATTTATCCTAGAAAATTTGTTTCATACATATTGAAAAAAAAACAAGATCCGACCGGGTCTCGAACCATTGATCTTAAGGGGCGAAGGCAAACAGCGTAACTTATAGACCAATTAGGGCAGGAGCCTGGGTAACTGTTCAGGTTCAATAATAAAACGAGTTCAATTTCGTGCAGATTTGTAAGAGAAGTTGTTAAAGGGGGAAAGTCTTGCTCTCGATTACAGACTTTTGCAGTGTAAATAATTTCTATAATTTATCTTTACAATCATCATGAGAAAACTTCTCTGAGCATCACTTTATTAAGTTTAAAATAATTTAAATGAGTTTCTTACCAATGAGCTTCTTTTCTTGGATGAATTTAACATTCGAGAGAACCTCTGCTGAGAGCTCGATGGCTTGGTTGAATCCATTTTCACCGCCATATGAAACGTCCACAGTTTTGAGTACCTTTGCTTGCAACCTCTACAAACAAACAAAAATGCATACTTTCACAAGCGGTCAATAGAAGATTTTAAATAGAAGTTAAAAGGTGCAAATTTTACCCCATCGAACATATCAGACTGTCCCAGTTCAGTCTTGAAGTCAGCTGATCCTGCTAGAACCAATCCAGCCACATTTGGCTTATCGTTGGTGATGAAACATTGGACAGCAACTTCTGCCACTTTACGCACATAGTTGTGTCTCTTCTCCATTCTCAGACGAGCAAATCGAAGCGCAGACTGACCACCACGTCCTAAAAAAGAAAAAAACGAGTCAACTTTTTCTTAGCCTCAAATGTTATTCTGTCCACAATTCATGAGAAAAGTCTTATCTGATTGAGGAAAAAAAACATTCAAATAGTTACCGTGCTTCTTTGGCAGGTCAACCGTAAATTTATGCAGCACATCTCTTGTGTTGCCACAGAGAGTTCCAAACAAAGCACCGTTACCATCCATGACAATGAAGCCAAACTTGGTATCATCAGTCAAAAGAGCAGTCAGGGCCTATAAAACATGATTTATAACTCCATTAGTTATTTAATTTGGCAAATCGACCATCATGTTATGTGCAACTAACCTCGGTATGAAACTTGTTGTCGCACAAGTAAAGAGACGTGTTAATAGGTTTGAAAGGCTCGAAGTCAATATTCACTCTTTTTTCTTTTCCTTCATCAGTCACAATAGTTCCACAATACACAACAAGCCCATTTGGAGGTACTAAACATAACAGAGTAGATAAAGGTCTTTTCTTCACTAATAAGATCTGTGAATATTCATATCGAAACACTACCTTTGTTGTATAACTTCAATCTCTGCTGGACAGACGTAATCGCAGTTAGCACCGATAACCTGTTAACGCATTTATTATCATGACCGTTTCGAATACCCATGTATTACTTAAGTCTAACAAACCTGTTCACACGACTTTTGATATTAGAAGCAGTTCCGTATTCTTCAGCTAACATCTTATTTGCTCTTGCCACCTGGTCTTTCGGTGGAAGAATTAATGAGATCATGCTAGTTCCATTTCTGAAAATAATTTCAAACTGATATATGTTAGTTAAAAATAAATTAATATGAAAGAACAAGGCTACTAGGGTACAACTATGACAGCGGGGTCACTAAAACTAAACGCGGTCCATTGATATCAAGACGCTTTGAGTTCTTAAAACTTCACATGATCAGAAAGGCTACTATTCAGTTCAGAAGTAGTATGGATGCAAATGATTTGGGGTAGGATTTTTGCAATTCAGTTGTGAAAGTCTCCCGCCAAAACACTTCAGGGAGTATAAATTTTTTGCCAAGTTAAAATTAGGAATATAAATAGCTTAGCAAACTTGAGATTTGAGGAATTGCAAGCAATTGTTTCATATTGATAGCATGATAATTACAATTGGGTGGAAAATTTGTTATCCGTATTATTTTGAACTGCAATATTTTAGCGCTATACCATCGCCAGTTGTTTATTTTCGATAGTAAGGTTATTGTCTATGCGAGACCTGTCTAACATAATTGTACCGCTAGGAGTAAAATAGTAGTTTATAGAAAAATAACTAACCCTCGTGCAGCCTCAAGATTTTTTATTAGCTTCTTGATTTTCCACGTTTCGACATTTCGGTCAGATACGTCATCATTAGCAGCGCTCATTGCAAACGAATCTGAAAATTAGTCAACTTCAACTCTTCAGGTACATGAAAAGCACAGAAAACCGGCTTCAGTGTGAAAAAAAAACATAAATGTTCGAGTCTTTCCTATTATCCAACCCCCCCTTTTAAAACATAGGCTCCAATAAAAAAGAAAGATAAAGATGTGCAGAGCAAAAGCATGTGCATCTTCAATTAATTTTCCATCATTTTTGAAACTCCTCAAAATTTGTTTAAGCAAAAACAAATTCTTTGCGGACATTGATAGTTTGTCTGAACTGAAGTTAAATAGAATACCCGGAGAAAAATTACGTGAGATTGAAGCAGCTGCAAAGCGACATGCAAAGAATGTGAAACAGACCCGCTCAGACAAAGGTATTCAAAAAGCCAGAAAGTATTTGAAGGACAACGGTCTTCTGGCAGTGCCGTTTGATAAGGCGGTGGGTTTTTGCGTAATGAATCTAAATCTTTTAGACAATTCAATTCCTGCAACTGTTCTTTCGTCGGTGTCTCTTGTCTATTGTTCTCTCTTACATGAGCTTCCAGTCAACGTATCGCCATCATAACTCTCACTATCACTATCGTTATGGGCTGCGATGAATCTCTGGTAAACCCATGGAGAGCAGCTCTCCAGAGTCCCAGATCAACACCAGATTACTACGCCTGGGGTACCACCATATTTGTAGCAAGCAATTGCAGGGGAACTCATCATGTGTCGACATGATGCTCCTCCAATTACGCTTTCCCGACGCTTCCAGTAGTGGTTCCACTTCCATCATCACTCGGTGGACTTCATCATTCTCATCTACTGCATTGTAATCCGTGACTGTAGAACTTTTCTGCTTTTGTCTTTCAAAGTCATTGAAGTTCCCCCTGGCGTATCCCATGAACTTCTTTCTCAGTATCGATTCTAAACCTCTTTGGTTCTCTCCGGAACTGCTGATAACAATTTGCACAGTAGCTCGTAAGATTTTTCTGACATTGTCCCTAATCTTACGCATTTTGGCACTGAGAAGGCTTGATCCACGATCGTTCTTGTACTTTTCACATCCACCGCTACAAAATGCACTGGCTATCTGCTCTTGCACATTGGAGCTAGAATTGATCCCACTGAAAAATCTTCATCTCCATCGAAGATGGATCAACCCTTTCCCCCAACTCCTAGCTTCTCATGATCTGAAAACGAATTTGGTATTATTTAAATTCAACTCAAGACATTCCGGGACGCTAAAAGTTTGTATAAAACAGTTCAAGTTCCAATCCCAAGACCCTTCCGGATTCTGGAATCCGGAGAAATAACGCTCTTATTTCTTCTCGGAAGGCTGGACACGTCGTTCCAACACCCTTCCTTGTTCTCGTGAACTGCTCAGTAACGGTTGTAGCGGTAAAATCCTTACAACTCGGAGTGGTTTGCGACAATTTCTAACCACAATCTCACTCTTCTGCCAATTTTTTGTTGTTGTTGTCACTGAGACTACTGTTGTTCTGTTTTCGCAGTTTCAGTGTGTGCGAAAGAATAAAAAATTACGTGTCGATCACGTCCAAATCGAAATTCTAAAAGTTAGCATGTCAGTCAAAACTAACACTTCCCGATTTGTCTGATCGTTCAATTAACGTCACTAATTCATAAAAACCAGCAAACTTCTCGGTTAGATGTTCCAATAAAAATTTGAATGCGAAACTGCATTTTGACCACTCTGGTCGAATGTCACATACTCCCCGGTCAGCCCGGTCAATGTCCTCATTGAGTCCCGTAGTCTGCAACAAAATGGTACAGTGCCATCGAACAGAATTTACAAAAAGCATGAAATCACTTTTATCCACGTCATATCGACTCACTGCAGAATATAAATGGCATCATACTACACTTATATAGCCTTTCAAATTCTTTCACTAATCTGCACTTTCGAGGATATAACTTAAGATAAAACATTTTTTCAACTTCTAACTTCTATGTCCCAATTTAAAACTTTTTCTCCTAGGTTTAAAAAGTGTAGGAACGAAGGACAGTCCTGCCAACCCACAAACTAAAAGTATCCTACTATGCTTCTTTCCTTCGGAAATTTAGTTGTTATTGGTCCTGAATATTAAAACTAAGGAACTCTGTGGTTAGAAGGAACAATGAAATAATCTCCTTCTTCAAGAGATTACCCCAGCCTTCCATGTCACCGCAAAGTGATCAGTCGTCCTAATTAATTAAAAACAATCATGCAGGCTGGAATGTTTTAATATATTCTCCACTCAACCCTTTCTAAAATAATTAGTAAGTGTCTCTAAAGCCACTAACTAAAATCATAATACAAATTTATAAAGGCAACAAATTCTTTAATCTTCAAAACTCAACTAAATGTTTTCTCTTCAGTTTCATGTGCAAACTTAGTTGCTTTGTTTCTCATTTGAAATTTTTTAACACACAAAAAAATTATGATTCTTAACATCTTCTCTTTCGTCGCTTCTTTGTTTTTTTCTTTTTTCTCGTCGCTTAGAAGTTCTAAAACTTCTAAATTCTTCTATATTTCTTTCTTTCTCCATCTTGTTTTTCGGCTTATTTGTCAATGCTCCATCTCCTCTTCCTGCGACATTGACTCCCCACTTTCAGTCTCAGTGTCTTGCAACACGTCGTTAGCTATTCTGACGCTATTGGAGGCAGTCCTCCAACACTTCTGCTCTTCTACTCTTTGTTTACAACAAGGCAGAGGATCAACGTTAGTTTCTCCGTTTCGGCAGAAGCTGTTGTGGAGGCACAACGTCACGTTTCTCTCCAAGGCTTCCTTCAACGTCTCTTCTTTTTTCCCTTCCGTCGCATTCTCTTGTCGTAGAAGTTCTCTTCACCGCGGTGGTTACTTCATTCCGATGAGTTATAAAATCTCGCTTGAAAGCTCCTACTCCAATGTCCAGCTGATACGCACTGTACACTTTGCTGTGATTCGACATATGCTTCCTGGCATACTCTTACAACCATGCAGTCATGTTTGCTCTGAACCATGGCATCAGTCGTCTTCTGGCCCTTATCTTTTTACCTCCATTGGAATGTTCAAAATTTTGCACGTTGTCTCAAAAAGATCTAAAGTTTTTAGACAATCCAATTCCTGCAACTGTTCTTTCGTCGGTGTCTCTTGCCTTTTGTTCTCTCTTATATGAGCTTCCAGCCATCGTATCGCTATCACTATCGTTATGGGCTGTGATGAATCTGGTAAACCCATAGAGAGCAGCTCTCCAGAGTCTCAGATCAACACCAGATTACTACGCCTGGGGTACCACCATGTTTGTAGCAGGCAATGGCAGGGGAACTCATGATGTGGCGACAAGATGCTCCTCCAATTACGCTTTCCCGACGCTTCCAGTAGTGGTTCCACTTCCATCATCACTCGGTGGACTTCGTCATTCGAATCTACTGCATTGTAATCCGTGACTGTTGACCTTTTCTGCTTTTGTCTTTCAAAGTCACTGAAGTTCCCACTGGCGTATCCCATGAACTTTTTCCCAATATCGAGTCTAATTCCTCTTTGGTTCTCTCCGGAACTGCTGAGAACATTTTGCACAGTAACTCGTAAGATTTTTCTGACATTTTCGCTAGTTTTACGCATTTTGGCACTGAGAAGGCTTGATCCACGATCGTTCTCGTACTTTTCACATCCACCGCTACCAAATCCACTGGGTATCTGCTCTTGCACATTGGAGCTAGAACTGATCCCACTAAATATCTCGCTCCCGTCGGTCTACGATAGGTTTCACTATGCAGGATGTAAACACTTCTACACAGATGATCGTAACCATTTCATGCTTTTGTTCTAGATTCAATAGTGACTTTATGGAACAAAGTAGTCACTAGATTCACCTCGGTTGCTCCATGGCAATCTACAGTAAATTCCGTTTCCATTTTTGCCTTCATAACAATGTTCCCAAACAATATCGTCAATTGCTTGTGTTGTTTCTCCATGGTCTTTGCGCAATCCAGTCCTCCACAGATGTGACCTTCCAGTCCACAGACTTCTGCCAGACAGCTACCAGGTTTGACCCAGTCCTCTGGTCCCCAGCCAGGCTACTCTACTTTGTCTTCTCCGTTGCTCTTAGAGGCTGTCATCATCAAATTATAGATGATGTTCAGGCCACGCAAATTACATTCTGAGTTCAGTTTCCTCTGCACGTCTTGTGTCGCACGCAATATCGAATCGGTGTTAGGACTCGGACACCATGATGGTTTCATCAGTTCTCATACCACCATCAAACTTGTTCTCAGCAATTCGTCCGAGAATCCCAATCCAAACTCCACTCGGTTGTCAGATTTTGGTACTGAAGATGCAGTCACCTTTTCCTCCAAGACTAGTCCCAGCATGTTCTAATGATTGGTCGCGCTTCTTATCGTTGCAAGTCTTGACATCCAGTTTCTTAGCAACACTGCTTGTTCGTAGTCAAAGAAGCAATCGCGTATGTCTTCATTTACGAAAGGGTTGTACGCCATCCCTATGATTCCGGATACGTAACTGTATGACTTCTTCCTGATCGGTCCACAGTACTCACTGGAGTTCGGCAGTGCTCCCATAGATTATTTTGTGAGCTTCATCTCCTTGTTAGCGAATCTCCTTATTTCGTCATTCTTTTTCATCGGTTCCAGCTCCACAGGCTCCTTCATGTTCACTCGCATCGGCCTACTCTGATGGATGCCAAAAGCGCTAGTAAGAGCAAGGCTTTCGCTCGTTCATCACCTTCTCATAGCATCTTGACACAAGTGTTCAAGGCTGGCACTGATAATTGTTCTATCATGAATCGAATGAAACAGAGAGCGTCTCTCCGCTTCGCGCACGCTACCGCTGCTCCTTCTTGGGTTATCAGATCTCTCATACTCGTCATTAAGAACACCTTTTCTCCGTTCGATCTTTTTCTTTCTTCCGAATCATATTCCCCGCGTGTCATTCCAGTCATGCACCAGGCGAACCTCAGTTGTAACTCTGTTCTCACATAGGGTACTGCTATCAGAGCGTGTGTATTCGGCGTGGTTCTCAATTCTTCTTCGAAT